ATTATTATTATTATTGTTGTTGTTGTTTTTATATATTATTATTATTGCATTTTCATTTTTTTTAAAAATCATTAGCAGCATTTTACTCTTAGATTAGCAACATATTATTTAGAAAACGAGGCGATGGAATAGCCGGACATGAGGAATGAATGGAAAGGGAAAGGTGAAGTTTCCTTTATCCTTTTTTTTTACCTTTCATTTCTTTTGTTCATAACCTGTCCACAAATGAGAGGATGAGACGGTCGAACGGAAGGAAAATGGATGCAAGTATCTTAATTATATCTTCGATTCTCCTCCTTTCTATATATTTTATTTAAACCAAGCAGACTCTTAATTTAAGAATCATTCGAAGCAAAGTAATAGCTTCGGATTACAACATGCTGTTTTGCTTAATTAATTCTTCTCGGGAAATCCTGGGATCCAAGATGCTGCCTTTTATTCCATATATCCCTGCTGTTGCAGTCCTCTGGCTCTGGATGTTCATGGTTCGTACGTAGCAAACTACAAAAATCGATGATATGAATAGAAAAGAAAACGAACAGTGAATATGGGGCCACTACTTGTTTGCGTTGATTTCAATGTTGCTTCAGAGTTAGGCAATCAGCTGATGCTGCTTCTTTAGGCTTACTTTTCACCTCTTTCTTTAATCTTTTTGCTGTCCATTCGCTTTATTTACTCCTTTTTTCACCACTTTTAAACCTTCTCCTTAGGGCTACATTATTGTGCATGTGGGCTTCGTCTTTTCAATTAATAAATATATAAACAAAGCTCAATTAACTGTTGGTTGCTGGCTTTATTAGTTTCATGAAGAAACATAACAGCGAGGGTCCTCTTTTCAACTAGGCTCTAGTCGTGAATTATATTATGCATTAGTGCATTTTAGCTTTCCTTTCTATCAACATAAGCAAGTTAAACTAGTGTAAATAAGGTTTTAGGGCAACTAATTAAAGATTTAGAGTTTGGATTATTACAATTTTAATGTTATAGATTCAATTCTTATAAAGGATAGATTTTCTCTGAATTTTTCTTAATGTAATGTATGGCACTTAATTTGTCAAATTTTTATGCTGTACAGTTGTGTCTTAAAGTCAAATTTTATATAAGTTGAATTTTAGGCTCTCTTAGTCTTTTGATTAAATAAATCAAGCTTAAACTTAAAAACACTACTCAACTCAATCGTGCTCCTAAACAAATCTTGTGAAGTGTTTATGCATAATGCTCAATGAAAACTTATTAAAAGTTGGTTTTTTTCATTAAATTGTCTAACAAATCCTTCATTTGTTGGGTTGCGTTTGGTTAAAGGGATAAAAATATTAGAGCTAGACTCTGACCAACACATGGAAAGGTAAGAAAATTTATGGGGTTTTGTGGGTTTGCAAAGTTGCACAACTTGGAGAGTGAGCAAAGTGATCAATATCGGTCCCGAGCTTAATTTGACTAGAGCCAAGAGCTGAGGTAGGTTGCGCTGGGAATGGAGGCTGGGACGGATGGATGAAGTTGCTGAGTTTTTAGTGAGCAAAGTAGGAGTGGCGGACAAATTACTGTGAGCAAGTTTTCAGAAAACCGCAAACCTAGTATTTTTATTAGCAAAATACATGGAAGCAAACATCCTTTTTTCATTTATCTTTTAATAAACATAAAAAAGATACACAATATATTTCCACCTTAAAGCATAACACAGGCTATACAATGATTTCTTTTTTTTTTAAACTCATCTCTCTTCGATCGTCTTCAATCTCTATTTTGAGTCCAATTATGTGTGGTGTAGAGGAATCAGTAATGGTTTGGCAATTGTGACGAGACTTCAAACGAGAAACATCCTTAGTTTTATTTTCTTATGTAGATCTGGCTTTCTAACGCCAAGTTACCATTTGTGTTTTGAATTTTCATACATGGGTTTAGATTTCTTTTCGGATTTTAAACCATACGTACCTATATAACTCTCAAAGCTATTAGTTACTTTTAACTTAGGTGAAACCCAATTTCAAGCTAGACTCATCTCAAAAAGTAGCTATAACTGTTTTTTCACTTGTCGAGATTTGCATTCCCTTGATCTAATTTCTTTTATTTAATTAGGAAATCTTTTAACCCTAATTTTAGGTTTACAAACCTAAGCTGAGCTTGGAACTAACCTCTAAAGAGTTGTTTGACTAGAGACTAATTTTATTAAAAAAGTTTTTGTTACAGAAATAATTAAAAAAAATATTGTATTAAGTTTTTGATAAAGTTTTAATAGAATTTTATTAAATTATTAATTTTTTTATGCTTGATAAAAAAATTTTATGGGAAAAATTAATAGAAAATTATCAAAGGAGTTGTATAAAGATTTTTATTTTTTTCTGTAAAAATCATTTATATATGTATATACTAGTAATAGAAAGATTTAATTACAAAAAATGTCAAACAATAAAAAAAAATGGGACACTACTTATTTTTACTATTGTTTACAACTTTTATATATAATTAAATACGTAAATATATAAAATATTATAGATTTTAGTCAAGTTTAAAAATAAATTATTATAAATTTATGAGAAAAAATTGTATAGATTAATATTTTGTAATTCAAAATATAAAATATTATTGTATATAATATCAATTGCTAAATAAAAAGGCATTTATCTATTATAAAAAAACTCTTATAATTTAATAATTATATTTTACATAGTATGCAAAATTCCAATTTAAAGAAAAAAAAAATCCCTTCAGTAGAATATCCATATCCGCCATTACCCGCTGTCTGCCGCTAGTTGGCTTTTGATAAGAGATTCCATTTTTTTTTTTTTTCTTTTCTTATGAACAATCCTAAAGTTTGATAAGAGAATATTGGTTAAAACAAGGTTAAAGGAAAGTCCCTGTCAAATTTAATGCTAGCGTCGCGCGTCAGTGATGATTGTTTCCATCTTTTTAACATGTGGTGTAGCTTTTTCATTATCAACTAACCTGCCTCTACCGTACACGTGTCTTATTGATCCACTCGACCAATCATCGTAAGCCTGTGACAGAAAAGTACCGCATTATTCGCCGCTCTGTTTTGGGGGTTGATGGAACGTCCATTTCGTCCGCGATTCTTTTGCCCATTCCTCGATGGCGGGTTGGCAGTTTAGGTAGCGTTTGTTATGCATCAACTCTACCCAAGTTGTGCTTACAGGCAAGTGACCTCATCATATATCATCTTTCGAGTCTTGAGTTGCACCTAACAAATTTCTGCGTTCTCGGTCCGTTATTGGCCCTAATGATTGTGAGTGCTGAAGCATTTTTTCCATTTTTCATTATTTTATGCCACAAAATTTCCAAACTTTACAAAAAAAAAGTTACCATTATCTCTTTACTATAAAAAAAAAGTATCAGCTAAAATTCTCCCAATTTTAATGGTAAAATAACATTGTCAGTCCCTTATCTTTATACTTCTGTGCACTATGGTCCTTAAATTTCATCTTTATTTAATTTGATCCTCAATTTCAATTTTTCTCATTACATTAGTCCCTAATTTTATGCATTCCATCAGTTTTTGCAAAAATAATAGTAACTAGGTAACTTCCAATATTACATTCAAATCATATTTAAGTTATGATTCACTTACATATATGTTTTACACATTATATTTATATAAAATCTTGATAATTTATCTTTTCACTTTTAATAGTTGAAATTTATTCATTTTTCATTATATTTATTAAAGATAATTATCTTTTCTATCTAAAAAATTATGATAAATCTAAATTATTGAGACTTGAGAGATGTATAGTCAAGATCTTATATAAGCGTGGAGCGTAAGATTTACATGTAAATGAATCCCTACTCTTTAAAATCAAGTCTTAAGTAGTAAACTAAAAAATATAAAAAGTGGTCATTCCATCAAAGTGCTAAATCGAGCCTTTAATATCTATTTATCCCAAAAAAAGTCTTCGATACCTAATTTGGAATCCTATAAAGCATTACAGCCAAAGTGATGAAGTTGTAGAGGATGTGGATATGATTTGTGAGAGTGGAGAAATGTGGTAGTATAGATGTCATGTATTGATGATAACTTTGGGTGATGTTTTGATGACTATGAGTTTACAACAAGGAAAAGAAGGCATGTATCTCCTATTTATCCTTTTTTTTTATCATAATGTTGTTTGATTTTTTGTTTATTTTTTCTAATATGAGTTAAGTGTGTATAGAGAGTTAAATGTCTTTTTTTACTTTTAAGGATCCCAAATTAAGAATCAAAGACTTGGTTTTTCACTTTGATTAGATGGATTTTTTATATTTTAGTTTACTATTTTAGTATTAATTTTATTAATTTTATTGATATTTAGATCATTTGGAATGTGATTTCATTAGATTTTACATGATTTCTATTATTTGTGCAAAAAGGATTGAAGCAAGAAATTTAAATTTTTGAGACTCTTTCAAAAGTTTAGGGATTAAGTTGCAATAAAAAATTGAAGTGGATGCAAATTGAATAAACATAAAGTTTGAAGATTAAAATGCAAAAAACTAAAAGTTTAAGGAGTGTTATTTCCCATCAAAATTCGAAGGACCGTATTTTAACGTCCGTGGATGAGAGATGATACTTGTTTTTTTTCTCAAGTTGAGAAACTTTAATTTAAACAAAAAGAAAT